GAAGACTCTTGCTGCCCCTGAGCCTCTGGCCTGTACCCCAGTTCTGTACGCACAAATAAATCTTTTTTAAAAAAATGGAACACTTAGTATTTTTCCATATTTTCCAATATGTTCGATGAGTGTCTCTGACCTGTGTGAACTTGCTGGTGTTAGGCAAGGCGAAAGCCACAGTCAAAACCGGCTCACACGCGCCCGTTCACGATGGCCTCCAGCGGGTGTCCTCGGGGGTGGGAGCCGTGGGGACAACTCCCCAAGGACCGGAGACACTAGTGGACCACAGGTTGCTTCCAGTATGAGTTCTCTGGCATAGCCTTAGAAGCGCGGCGCCTGCGTCCCCAGGTCGGCAAGCGCAGGCCCCTGCCAGCGGGTGTCCTTTACAGTAAGAAAGAAAAGCTGGAAACCTGCTGCTAGGTTCTTGGCTTAGAGTGACACAGTTACTCCTCAAAGACGGTTTCCTGACTTCACAGCACACAAAAAGCTCCTGTGGGTACAGACGTTCTCGAGCCTCCGAGCGGGCGGCCTGTGCCCAGCCCCCCAGGTCTGAGCTGTGCGCAGAGGCGCGCCCCAGAGGCCGGAGCTCCCCGCATCAGCCGGGGAAGGCTGCCGCCTGGGTGAGCCGGCTCACAGTTGAGGGGCTGGGGTCTGTTCAGGACCTCACTGCTCTGATGATGCGTTTCTCTCTAGTATGACTTCTCTGACTACTGCTGTACCCTGGGAAACAGCTCGACTTTTCTAGTTATTTTCCCCCAAACTGTTTTTTTTTAAATATTTATTTTATTTATGCACACAGAACTGGAGTGCAGGCAAGAGGTACAGGGGGTGAGAGTTTTCGCTAGAGACAGAGTGGGGAGCAGAACAGAGTGAAATACACTGCTGTGGGGAGCAGCGGGGGTGGAGAGGTCCCCTGCCACGTGGGTCGCTCCCAGGCCAGGGGTTGAACTTGGGCCGCACGGCCTACGGCCAGCCTTGTGGTGCTGCGCTTTAACCTGTTGCGCCACCAGGGAGGGCCCCGCAAATGTATTCTTGTGGCCTGCCCTGAATCATGTTTTCTCAAGAGCTAGACATTATTCCAGTCATCTCTCCTGGGCCTCCTGTTGCTTCTCTAAGTGAGCCTCACAGTCCTGGCCGTTACTGAACATCCCTTTTGAATGTTCCCACTCTCGGGGGCCAGCATGTGGCTCTGAGATGCCTCCTGGGTTTCAGTAGTCGCTCCAGAGACGGCACCGCCCCCCAGAACACTTGCTACCTGGCCCTTTACGGAAAACCTCTGCCGCCTTGCCTGCAGCCATTGTGTGGAGTCATGTGTCACACAGCCGAGCATGGCGAATGCCCCTAGACTTGAGACTGAGAGCTGACTTGCCAAACTGCTGCGAAGGGAGGCGCAGAACGTGCCGGTGCGGCTGGACACTCACCTCTGTGCTTTGCCACGAGGCCACGGCCCACTTACGGCTGGGCTAAGGGGAACGGGCGCAAGGGGCGCAGGTCTGCTGTCGCCCGAGCCCGGGGCCAGCTCAGCACAGTCAGCCTCGACCGCAGGGCCCGTTTTATCGGTAGATTGCGAGCCACAGTAAATGCCTTGTCAGCCACTGAATTCCGGACAGTTGCTGCACAATCTCACGCTGCCAGTCACTGACTGACAGCTGTCCCCAGTAGCAACGGAACAAGAGCTTTTTCCTTTGACTTATGATCAGAACGAGGTTGCTTTTAGTCTTGATATGAGATGTTGTAACAGGAAAGAGTCTACATGGTATGACCATAGACGACAACCAGACACAATGATTGCAAATGTTCAGGGAGATCATGTTCTAGGTAGCACTTGTGCAGCAGGCGATGGTCGTTAACTGTGATAGCTGAGACGAAACAGGGGTCTTGCCTGTGTCCCGGGAGCCAAGAAAGCGGTGACAAAGTGGCTAAGAGAGTCAGCTCCTGGCTTCGGCCGCCAGGCCTAGAGCCTGACAGAGAACAGCACGCGCGCGAGTCCCACCTCGAGTCGCCAGTTTGCGTGCTCCTAGCCAGAGTGGCAGGGCAGCTGGGAGCAACCTGCCTCTGGTCAGGTATGTCCGCACCAAGGAGCAGGGCCAGTTGTAGTTACGTGCACTGGCGCACCGTCAGGGCCCCGTCCACGTGATGTGCTCGGGACACGTACTGCCACAGAGGTAAAGGTCAGGCCCTCCCGGGAGCACAGGGTGAGTCTCAGCACTATGGGTCGGTCCGCAGTCACTGCAGCCTGAGTCCACCGCGCCAGGGAGTGACCCCAGGGTAGAACAGATCCCGCCTGTCCCCTGCGGCCCCCTCAGCAGTGGGTCCACCTCTTCTGCTCCCCACTCTGTCTCTGGAGAGTCCTCTCACTCCCCACCTCTGGCCTGGCCGCCAGCTCTTGTGTGCATCAATCAATAAATCTTTTTTTAATAAGAGAGGTACATGTTACAAGGAAAATAATCAATTACCCCTGGGTAATTTCCTTCTCTTTAGTTTTTACTGAACAGTTGGGAATAAATGTTAATAAAGAAGCATAACTTAAGATTAAGCTATTTCTCATCAATGCTTTTTGAAAGGTTTAAATTCTGTAGGTCAAAGATGTTAGCCAGGACTCTATAGACTAAGCTCAGGCTCCATCTTCTACCCTAACTTTTTCCACCCTGGTTCCGCACCCCTTGCAGAGGGCAGGTCACTGTCTACTTCCGGCCTAGTCTTCCATGGTTCCCTACAATATGTATTTATGGCCAGTATATAAATACACGCCAACCTCGATGCCAACGTATTTCACAGACACACACCGCCTACGTCCACACGTGCCCCCTTTCCATCGCCACGGGGAGAGAACGCATTGGATTCATGGGGCTGTGCCATCTTCCTCAGGGAGGGCCTGAGAAGTCAGGACCAGCAAACGGACTGGTTTCAGTCACTCGAGTCATCAGGCACCTCATAGGTGCTAGGTGGGAGCAACAATGAGCTGGGCCGTTGCCTGACAGAAGTGTGAGCGGGGCAGGGGTGGGCATGTGTGAAGCCCTGCGGAGACATCTCATGTCTGAGCAGCAGAGACCTGCACGGCTGGAGGCGAGCCAGGCAGAGGGGAGCAGGGAGGGCGCTGCCTGGCTGGACTTAGCAGCCACTGGTAGACGCAGACTGCGGCTCGGGTTCTACCCTGAGGCAGCGGGGAGCTCTTGGAGACGCTGCACTAGGCCGGCGGTGCCAAAGGGACGCATGGCTCCTTGCACGCGGGCTGGGGCTGGGTCTGTGCGGCTGCTGGAAGTCTGCGCACCTCCCACCTGATGTGGGACATTCCACGAGGCGCGGCGAAGCAGGCGCTGACTTCCCCCACAGCCCTCCATCAGCTTTCTGCAGCGTAACTAAAGCACAGGTGCGAGGTAGATACATAGGTACACAGTCCAGACCGCAAGGTGTCTCCACACAGGGGAAGCGTCCATACGGTCCTGCAGGTGGCCAAAGCGTCACTTTCTGTTCCTCAGTCTGGTTCCGCACAGTGGCTCTGACAGCTCTAAGCACTTTCAGTTCGGTTGTTTTCACTCGCTTTGCTTCCTTCCTGGTTTTCTGCCACGCTCTCTCCATCACGCGGTGCTCACTACACACTGAGCAAAAGCAAGGAATAAACATGAAAGACTGAGCTACATGGGACCAGGCGCTGCGGCAGGCGGCCCCGCACGGGGCGTCACCCCAGGCCAGCCCCTGCCAACTCGCCATGCTGCCACTTGTCCTGCGGCCTCCAACGGCCAGAGCGGCCCGCGCGGGGTGGGGTCCGTGCCGCTGACCCGCGAGCACACTCTTCCTCTTCTTTGCTTCATTTTCAATGTGGGCATTGCAGTCCAGCCTGGCAAGTCTCATTCCACAGCACAGGGCTGTCAACTAGC